GATAAAGCAGAGCAAAAAATCCTTAGGAAAGAGACTAGAGACTTAAATATCATAAGAGGATATTATAAATACTTTGTGCTAATTAGGAACTCACATAAGATGAACAATCTCCTAAACAAAACTTAACAAGCCAAAAATTACCTAAAACACAGGATATTATATCTATGGTTGGAGTTCTGGTGTGGCACTATAGGATAAGTACTTGAACTGCAAACTATATGGTTGCAGTTCAAACCCACCAGTCGCTCCTCGACCCTATACAGGGTTGCTCTGAGTTGGAACAGACTTAGATGTTAACAACAAGATAACATCAATACCAAAAATACACGAGAAAAGTTATGGGCCAGTTTCAATTCTATTAGGACAAAATTCCTAAAGGAAATAATGTCAAAAGAAATCAAAGTATAATAGGAACAACCTCATGATCAGAGATGGCTTAACTTTAGAAAATTTATTAATGTAATTTACCACATATACATATTTAAAAGAAAAGGTATAAGACCAAATCAACAAATACATGAAGAACATTCCAATAAAATTTTACATTAAAAAACAAAGAACTCACAAAAATTTTGGTAAACTCGAAGTAGAAAGGAACTCGATAAAAGGTAATGTATCAAAATATCTATAGTAAACATGTTTAACAGTAACAACAAGTCATTTAAAGAACAAGAAAAAGATACACCATCATTGCGTCTCAACATTATTTTGGAAATCCTAGTCAAAGCAGAAAGAGAAGAAACAGAAATAGAAAGTCTAAGGATTAGAAAAGAGAAAATAAACCATCATTATACGAAAACTGTAATGGTTAATTTTATGTGTCAACTTGGCTAGGTTATGGTTCTCAGTGGTTTGGCCAAACACTACACTAGTTGCTGTTCTATATCGGAATCTACTCTTAACAACAAAAAACAACAATCCAATGCAACGATCTTTCAAAATGTAATCTAATACAATATTATCAGTCAGTTGAAAAGGGAGTCTACATGGGTATATTCTGCCTCCACACTACACACAGATATTTTGGCAGAATGCTACCTTTACTCTGCACTCTTTCCATCACCTGACCTTCAGACACAAGTCTGCAGGAGTCTCCCGCCTGCCACCTGACCCACAGACTTTGTACTTGCAAAAAAAACCTCTAAGATACCATAAAATAAAACAAGCCACAGATTGAAACAAAAAATTTTCTCACTGATAAGCTGGTTGAAGAAAAAAAAAAAAAAAACAAGAAAAAGATGAATGGTCCAATGTTAAAAATGGGCAAAGGAAATCAATAGGTAATTGACAAAAAACCCCAAACAAACCAGAATAACAAAATAACGTATTAAAATCTTCAAACTTACTCATAACCAGAGAAATTTAAAATGTGAAATATCACTTCATAACCATAAAGTAGCAAAAATTAGTAAGTCTGATAATCAACTGTTGGTAGGACCTTGAATTCCTAATAAAGCTAAACTATTTAAGGATCCAGCAAGCCTACCCATTAAAGCAACTCTCAGAGATGAAGGAAGTGTCAGTAAAAGGATGATTATTGCAACTGTTACTAAAGGGAAAAGCACTACAGTGTTCAGTTTACTCACAGAAGGAATTTATGAGGAAGCTTCAAAAAATTCAAGGAAAAATGGAATAAAAAGAAAATGGAATTTGGAAAAAAGGACAATATAAAATGTATTTTATTTGTATAATGTACAAGGGGGGTTTTAAAATGTTCATGGAAAATGGAATTAAAAGATAATGTAATTTTCTAAGAACTGTTTGAAGGCCCCTGGTGTTAGGTGGAAATGATTCATATCAACTTCAGGACAGTAGTTACCTCTAAGGAGAAAAAATACAGAAGGACACTGACTGATTCTACTATTTCAGTTCTCAAAAAGTAAGACATCGTATACCTACTGGTATGGTGCTGTAGGATAAATACTGGATTGCTAACTGCAAGGTCGTTGGTTCAAACCCACCAGCTGCTTCCTGGAAACCCTATACGGGGCTACTATGAGTTGGAACTGACTTGATGGCACTTAACAACAGGAAAGCTAAAATAAAGTTAAGTTGGCTCCAACTCAATGGCAACTAACCACAAACACTAAACATGGGAGATATACCTACCCCATAGGCCAGCAATTCGACCCTTATATATTGTCAACAAAGTGCATATATATGCTCATCAAAAGACATGCAGTGTTCGCCACAAGCACTGTGAACATTTCCAGTAGCACTGGAAAATACCCAAACGCCCATCTTCAGGAGAGTGGAAGACTATACAGCCATGAGAATGAATAAGCAACATACTTCTAAATAGCATAGGTGAATTTATAGCTAATCACTGAAAGAAACCAGACACTGGGGTATATTAAAAGATTATTACATTTTATAAGGTTCACGGACTGTCAAAACTAATCTAAAGGGTAAGAATAGGATTACTCTTGGGGCAAGGAGAAGTGGTTGGAAGACGTCACACACCAGGGTTCCTCCAGGGTGGTAATAAGGTTCAAGTTCACTTAGGTGCTAGTTAACATGTTACATAATTTGTGTTCAATTTGTGAAAACTCACAGAAATGTTATTTCCCCTTAGGTATTTTAAATTGTAATAAAAAGTTAAAGAGAAAACAGGTAAATAGGACAAAATATTAATATCTGTATAATTTGGATGTGGAGTCCTGGTGTGGTTCTGCAGGATAATGTGCTGGACTGCAAAGCCAGTTTGAACCACAAGGTTGGCAGTTCAAGCTCACCACCGCTCCTCAGAAACCCTATACAGGGTCGCTATAAGTTGGAACTGACTTGATGGCACTAACAATTTTGGTGTTATCTTCTAGAATTTTGTATGAATTTGAATTATTTTATAATTTAACATAAAGTAGGGGGCATGTAGGTACTTCTGGTATTATTTCTTAAACAATCAGGAAGTCCCATTCCTTTGCAGCCCTGCTGGGTTATTACTTCTGAAGACGTCCATCTTTCTGACTCACCTGTAGAGCTGCTTTTGGGGTTTTTTCTCTCAAACATCCATGGCTCTTTTCCATTCTCCAAATTGTAATTCTCAGCTTTGGAAACTGGAAGCCCTGTACATATTTAAAAAAAAAAAAGAAAAAGAAGAAAGAAATAGACTTAGCTATCTGTAATGGACAAGAACAACTTATCCTGCAGCCTAGTCCTGACCCCTTGACTCACTGTTGTTAAGTGCCGTTGAGTTGGTTAGGGTTTCCAAGGAGTGACTGGTGAGCTTGAACCACCGACCTTGCAATTCAAACAGCTTTGCAGTCTGGCGCATTAACCCACAGTGCCACACTTGAATTATAGAGAAGCTATTATAGGAAGATCTGGAATACAGGAGGATCACGCCTTTCCTTTTAATTTAGCGTGAATGGGTTTCTGACACTTGAATTAAAAAAACCCTGCTATATAATATGCATGCACATTTCACCAAAATTGTAGAGAAAAAGTAGTATTTCTAAGCCACAAAAGACTAATGCTTTAGGCCTCCTGAACAGTAAAGTGCAGGGTTTGGTAGCTATTTTGCTTTCAATAAAAGTAGGCAGATTTCAGAGTCCTAACGAGATGCCTTCCTTACAAAGCGAGACCAGGTTCCTATAGTTCGCCAGCATCACATCCCGTTGTGCAGGATCCAGCTTTCCCCATTCCTCTGGGGTGAAATCCATGGCCACATCCTTGAATGTCATTGGTTCCTAAAACACAAAAACATGTTTATTATCTTTCACCCAATAGACTCACTTCTAGTCCCAAATTTCCCATGGCCGTGGTGCAGAGTCCTCATCAGGGGGAAGTGACTGATATATGGAGACATCGTAACAGTATTCAGATTGTGACTTTTCTAATAAAGTCACTGGGAATCAGTTGTGCACCTGGCATGCTATGCTAGATTCAGTAAATTGGTCCAAAAGTTAAGGCCATGGTTTTTCCCTTGATAAGTACAATTTTTCTGGGGAATAGAGTTACACCATGGACTGTTAAGTCAATCAATAATGTAAGGTGGCAAAGTATAAACATGTAGAGACAAGGAAAAAGACAATGGAAAAAGTATATATATTGCACTTCATCAAAATTAAATATGTTTGTACATCAAAGGATTCTTTCAAGAAGGAAGAAGACAAAAATATTTTCTAATTATGTAAGAAATTAATATAAAAAATATAAAGAACTCTTACAACTCAAAAACAAAAAAAGAAATAAAATGTGTTAAAAAATGAGCAACGGACTTCAAATGACATTTCTCTAAAGACGACCTAACAGCCATAAATATGAAAAGATGCCAAACATTCTTTGCCATTAGAAACATTTTGCTGATGATTCCAAATCACAGTGATCCTAAAGGACATAGTAGAACTACCCCAAGGGTTTCCAAGGCTGTCATCTTTATGGAAACAGATTGCCACATCCTTCCCTAAAGAGCTGCTGGTGGGATCAAACTGATGACCTTTTCAGTTAGTAGGTGAGTGCTTTAACCACTGTGCCACCAACAAAGACTCCCTTTTTTAAAATGTACATAGTCATTTATTAGGATATATACATGACACATAATTCTCTCACTTAAAAAAAAATTATTTGTTGTTGTTAAGACTATACATAACAAAATATACACCAATTCTACAGTTTTTAACATGTACAATTCAGCCACACTAGAATTTTTTTAAATTAAATGTTCTATTGTGAATTATGTTGATAGTTTACAACGGAGAACATTAATTTTACATTCATTCTATCATATATAGGTTCACTGCCATAGTTACAATCCCATCCATGCATCATCAACCAACCAAAGGGTACACCCTGCAAGACCGCTCCCCACCCCTCCACCCCCACCTCGGTCGTCAGTAAACTGCCCCTTTCCCTCTCTGGATCTCAAGTCCCCAGCCACTCCATCTCTCTACATCATTGTCTCTGCCTCCATCTCAGGCATCACTGCTTCTCTGGGTAGGGAGGGTCCCGCTCTCCGCTCTTCTCCATTGATGGTCCCAGGGCCCTCCACTCCTAGACTGAAAAGTTAATCACTCCCCTCCTTGACATAAAATGTCCACCTTTACCTTTCCAATCCTCACAATCAGTCCTGATAACAATTATTCACTATTGTATCACAAGAGACCCATCTGCATTTCATTTCATCAGCCCTTCTTAGACAGGTTGGATACTACTCATCACTGGAGACTCTACCTTTCTTCATGCCCTCTGGATCTAGGTTCCCTCTTGAAAGCTTGTAAGCCAGTCACTTCTTGAGCAAAGGCTCCTTCTTGGCATTAAGGAAATGCAAATCAAAACCATAATGAGTTATAACTTCACAGGCCTAGGACAGCTATTATGAAAAGAAGCAGAAGATAAGTATTGACAAGGATGTGAAGAAACTGGAGCACACTTCCACCGCTCATTAGAAATAAAAGGGAGCGGTGGCTCAGGAAAACAGTTGGTGTTTCCTCAGAAAGTTAAAACATAGAATTACCACTGTTGTCGTTGTTGAGTGCCATCAGTTCTGGCCCACAGCGACCCTGTAGAGGGTTTCCGAGAAGCAGTTGGTGAACTTGAACTGCCAAACTTATGGTTCAAACAGACTTTGCATTCTAGCACATTAATCTACAGAACCACAAGACTCCCAGATGACCCAGCAATTCCTCTCCTAGATATAGACCCCAAATCCAACTGGAATCTCTAGCAATTTTGTCAATGTACCATTGCAGCCATTTGTGAATTGTTTTCAGCACAATTTTACTTGCAGGTGATAGTAGTGATATTGTTTGATTTCTGCATTCTTTTGGGTCATCTCTCTTTGGAATGGGCACAGATATGGATCTCTTCTAATCAGTTGGTCTTCCAAATTCCTTGGCATAGATGAATGAGCATCTCCAGTGCTGTTAAGTTTGTTGAAAGATTTCCATTAGTTTTCCATCAATTCCTGGAGCCTTGTTTTTGCCAATGCCTTCAGTGTAGCTTGCACTTCGTCCTTGAGTACCATCAGTTCTTGATCATACGCTACCTCTTAAAATGATTTTTTTGGTACAGTGACTCTTTGTATATCTTGTATCTTCTTTTGTTGCTTTCTGCATCATTCAGTATTTTGCCCATAGAACCCTTCAATATTGCAAGTGAAAGCTTGAATCTTTTCTTTAGTTCTTTCGGCTTGAAAAATGCTGATGTCAGAAGAAACTCTGAAACTTGCTCTTGCCTATAGAAAAGTTAAAGCTAATGATACAAGAGAGGAAGTAAGGAGCTGAAAAGAAAATTTCCAAGGGCAGCTTGAGAAGACAAACTCAAGTATTAGGAAGTGTATAAAGACCTGGAGTTAGAAAATCAAAAGGGAAGGACTTGCTCAGCATTTCTCAATCTGCAGGATGTGAAGGAAACATTCAAGCTTCATTCGATTTATAATATTGAAGGATTCTATAAGCAAAATATGGACTGATGCAGAAAACATCAAAGAAGTTGGAAGGAACATACAGCTACTGTATCAAAAAGAAATGGTCGATATTCAACCATTTCAAGAGGTAGCATATGATCAAGAGTCAATGATACTGAAGGAAAAAGTCCAACGTGCACTGAGGCTTTGGCAAAGAACAAAATTCCAGAAACTTGATGTGCTACAAACTGAAATCATTCAACAAACTGATGCAGCACTTTAGGCACTCACTCATCTGGGCCAAGAAATTTAAAGACAGCTACCTGACCAACTAATTAAAAAAGATTCTATTTGTGTCCATTCCAAAGACAAGTGACCCAATGGAATGTGGAAATCATTGGACATGATTATTAATAACACATGCAATTAACATTTTGCTCAAGATATCCAAAAACAGCAGCAATAGTACATTGACAGGGAACTGCCATGAGATTCAAGCCAGATTCAGATGAGGACGCTGAATGAGGAACATTATTGCTGGTGTCAGTGGATCTTGGCTTAAAGCAGAGAATACCAGAAAGATGTTTACTAGTGTTTATTGACTGTGCAAAGGGTTTCAACTGTGTGGATCATGACAAGCTATGGATAACGCTGTGGCGAATGAGTATTCCAGAACACTTAATTGCGCTCATGAGGAACCCGTACATAGACTAAGAGGCAGTTGTTTGAACAGAACAAGTGGACAAGGAATGGTTTAAAATCAGGAAAAGGTGTGTGCCAGTATTCTTTCACCATACTCATTCAATTTGTACGCTGAATAAATAATCCAAGAAGCTGGATTATATGAAGAACGTGGCATCAGCATTGGAGGAAGACTTATTAACAACCTGCAGTATGCAGATGATACAATCTTGCTTGCTGAAACTGAAGAGGACTTAAAATGCTTACTGATGGAGACCAAAGACCACAGCCTTCAGTATGGGTTGCACCTCCATGAAAAGAAAACAAAAACCTTCATCACTGGACCAATAAATAACAATGAAGATAAGAATGGAGAAGATAAATGGAGATTAAAGTTATTAAAGACTTCATTTTGCTTGAATCCACTATCAACACACATGAAAGCAGCAGCCAAGAAATCAAATGATGCATTGTATTAGGCAAATCTGCGGCACAAGACCTCTTTAAAGTGTTCAAGAGAAAAGACGTCAGTTTGAGGACTAAAGTGTGCCTAATTCAAGTCTCGGCATTTTCAACAGTTTCATATGCATGTGGCAGTTGGACAATGAATAAGGAAAGTCATAGAAATATCAATGCATTTGAGTTATGGTGTTGGAGAAGAATATTGACTGTTAGAACAACAAATCTGTGTTGGAAAAAATATAGCCGGAATGCTGTTAGAACGTAGGATGGTGAGACTCTGTCTCCCATACTTCATATTCAGGAGGAACCAGGCCTTGGAGAAGGACATAATGCTTAGTAGTAGAGGACAATGGACTCAAGCTTAACACTGACTGTAAGGATGGCACAGGACTAGGAAATATTTCGTCCTGTCATGTATAATATTGCTACGAACCGACATGACTGAACCTAACTACAATACTACAGTAACAAAGAGAAAGGCGAATTAAGAGAATGTTGTTGGGCTCTGGTATGTCAAAACACGGAACGCATGTTTTTTTTACCCAACTGTTTTCAATAAAACCTTCCAAGCACATAGAAAAGTTGAAATCACATAGTATATTTACCACTCAAATTTTAGAATTTTTAACAGTTTTGAGATGAGAAAATTTTGAAAGTGAGTTGCAGACATAACAAATCACCCCTAAAATACTACAGCATCCATCATTCATACAGCTGGATTGTAACTGCACTCTTTAAACCTTCTAAGAATCTGAGTAATCCTCTGTACTGCTTGAGTACTTACTTTTATAATTTCCTTCAATACTTAAGGTGCTTTCTTAAATACCGACTTCACTGTTGCAGGTGTGTTGTTTTCCATAGGGAAGCATGAGTTTTAACAGGTGTGGTGCAGTAAATATTTGAAATGGCTCTTTTAGCCAGTCTTTATCATTCCTACCAAATAAATGGGTATAAGTATGTGAGGTGTTTGTGGCCCACCAAGGGGATCTGATGGAGTCCTGGTGTGGCGCTGTGGGTTAATGTGCCACACTACAAAGCCGTTTGAACTGCAAGGTTGACAGTTCAAGCTCACCAGCTGCTCCTTGGAAACCCTATACAGGGTTGCTATGGGTCGGTACCGACTTGATGGCACTTCACAACAACAAAGGGATTTGATAGCTTGCTAATAATGTAAACAACGTACATGGCACCCATGTGGGCTGTTATTGTTAAGTGCCACTAAGTCCGTTCCAACCCACAGTGACCCTCTCTATACAGGGTTTCCAAGGAGCTGGTGGCGAGTTTAAACTGCCAACCCTGCAGTTCAAATTGATCTTGTGGTCGAGTGCATATTCTACAGTGCCACGAAAATAAGGTATACAGAACTGTAATGTGAGGGTTGGTCAGCTTTGCTGTCCTGCTAGGTTTAAGAATAAGCCATCTCAGAAGCAAGAACAGGGATCACTACCATCAGAGAGAAGAGCTAGGAAAGCGTGTCATTTGGACCCTGAGATCCCTATGTATGGAACCTCCTTGATCCAGGAGACGGAGCTGTGACACCAGAGAAGTGGTGGCTAAAAAGCAGCAGGAGCACCAAGAGCACAGACAGAGTGGGGACGTATTTCCTGACACACCGAGTGAGAAAGCAGAACGCCTTTGGACTGAGGCTTATGCTACAATGGAGAGTCTTCTAGGCATGTGTCAGCAATGCTAAAAGAGCTGTGTAATGGTGTCTGAGCAAAGCAGAGTCCAAAGGGCCCTTTGGCTGAGGCTAAGAAGCAGAGAGAGGCGTTCCTGTGGGTAGGAGTGAGATTAGGCAATCCTGTATCCTAAACTTTTGTGATCCTGAACTTTATTTAACCTGTGAGCATTCCTAATGAGCCCCTTAATTGTTAAGGACTGTCTGTGAGTTCTGTGTGGCCACTGCTCTGGATCATCAAATCCAGCAGAGAAGTAGAGACTGCATGGGTGGGTGGGTTGGTTGGACATGGAGGCTTATCTTACCCCTGCTTCATAGGTCTTAGGCTAGTGTTGACTTTTATTTTCCTTTCCCCTTGTAAAGTCAGAGGAGGCCAAACACTACCACTCCCATGCCACTCTTACAACAAGTATGCACATTTTCTTTTAATAGTTTACCATATTACCCAGCATAAAAAACAGAGTACACTGAAGGTCAATGCTTTCATGCTTGTTGAGTGGCAATAAATAATAAATGAAGGTGCCATGTTGTTGTTGTTAAGTGCTGTTGAGTCGATTCTGACCCATAGTGACCCTGTATAGGGTTTCCAAGGCTGTAAATCTTTACAGGAGCAGAAGTCCTCATCGTTCTCCCATGGAACAGCTGGTAGTTTTGAACTGCTGACCTTGCGGTTCACAGCACGATTCGTAACCACTACGCTACCAGAGGTGCCATGTGTTAATAGAAAAACTTTTCTATTGATTCCATGAATCACTACGATTTGTTGTTGTTAGGTGCCTGTGGAGTCGATTCCGACTCATATCCTGTATAGGGTTTCCAAGCAGCATCTGGAGAGTTTGAACTGCTGACCTTGTGGTTCAAAGATCAGTGCTGATCCTATAGCCACCACACCAGGAGTCCATCTATGAGTAGGTTCTTAGAATTAGAACTCAGCTCTCTGGAGGGACTCTAGCACATAAAGAAACCCCAAAACAAAAAAAGGCAGAGTGTCTGGACTTGAGAAATAAGGTGGAATTTCAATAACCAGTAGAAACTCACACTCACCTGGGAGCTGGCTGTTAGGCACAGAGATGCCATTTCTTCTGTGCTCCTCTCTTGGAAAAATGGAGAATCCTGGGAAGGCAAAGCTAAGAGCAAGACAGCAGTAAAGATGGGGCCTACAACAAGTCTGTGACTAAGATTCACAGGTTTAAACATTCCTTTACCAAATTGGCGCTATCCCTGTACTCTACAAAAATTGAAGCTGAAAGGAGCGTAAAACAATCCTACCACCTCTCAGGATGGTGGAGAATGCCCAGGAATGTTGCTCCTTGGGGCTTAAATTGAGACCCTTTGAGGTACCATTATGGCGGGCAGTATTCATTCGCTGGTCTACAAATTACAACAAGCGTGTTTAGTTCCAAGTTCCATTTACACTAAATTAATATTATAATAGATTGAGTGGTTTTCAAAAGATCACACTGGAAGCTTATTTTCTGAACCACATCTCCAAATAATTATCGTTGGCTGAATCTCAGGTGCAATTTGGAAATCTGAAATGAAGCACCCCAGAGTAATTCGGATGCACCAAACCCCAAGACCTGGAAGCCAGTCACTGCCTTCTATGCCCGTTTTCTCCTTTGTTACCTTTGAAACATTTGCTCTATTGAAATCACGGGGCTTTTGTGCAAAGTAGGATAATAGATGTGGGGACTTTTTTTTTTTTTTGCTTACTGAGAAGCTAAATTCTCAGACCCAATCATGGAGACCAGGCTGGTACAATCATTTGAGAGGAAGAAAGTGTGAGAAAATAAAGTAACTAAAGCTGTACTCAGTTTCTGAGGCTAACATTTTGCTCCCGTTTTGGGGGTGGCTTTGAAGGGTCCAACGAGCTACCCAGTAGGAATAGGAAGGCAGATGATGCCAAATCCGACCCTCCATTCTCACGTAAAGAGCCCATGCAACTCTCCAGAACTGCAAATAGCCAGCTACGCCAAAGGGCACATTTCTTTTAGCAACTGTTTTTCCCTCTGGAGGAATTTTGCTTCTCAAGGACCCCAGTGCAAGCCTTCTGCAATTCTCACCTCTCCTCTCAGGCATTTCAGCCAAATCTGTCTCCATGGTCACCACCTCTCCTCCCCGTTATGACTGCAAACAGAATAGTCAGAAGTCCCCGAGCCCTCGAGGTCCTCCTTCCGGCCGGTTGTCGGGGGATCTCCGAGTAGGAGTCGGGTAAGGTTTCGTTCTCACTCTGGAGCCTGGCTCGGCCCTACGGCGGTGGAGCCTGAAAACCCGGGGGCAGCAGCATCCCTAAGGCTGGGAGGGTTTTGTCTGAGGGAGCTGTCCCCCGGGACCTAGGGGCTGAAGGAGGCGGTGCTGGGGCTGCCGCGTCGCCTCCGAGGAACAGGAACGCGGAAAAGTGGCGCCGCGCTCAGGGATCTCGTCCCGGGCTCACGACTCTCCCGCGTCCCGCCCGTTTGCCCCGCCTGTAGCGCAGACGCGTCGCCGGAGGGCGCAAGAGACCGGCTGGGTCGGAGGGCTCAGGTTTTGCAACCCGGAGAGGGATTAAGGCCGGAGCGTGAGGGTATAGGGGCTTCGCTTCTGCCTTAGAGGCCACTTTCAGAAACGCGCGCTCCAATCTGGACTCAGCAGCGAGTGACCTCAGGGGAGCTACTATCCAGATAGACTCAGAGAAGCGGCGCCAGAACAACGAACTCAGCAAGCATGGTGGATCTGACAAAGGATACGAACTTCTCGAGCCAGCGCGAAATCGCGCATGCGTAAGAGGGTGGTGGAAGAGGCTGGTCCGGCTCCAGAACTACGCTTCCCAGAAGGCTATAGGCATCACAGGACTCTGGTTCCCAGCAGGTGGGAGCACGCGTGGCGCTATTAGGAGCCTTAAAGGACCAGTTAGTTCCTTTTCTCGCGAGAGTCGGGTTGTATGGGACGAGTTGGTCCAGGACAATGGACGGCACAGCTGTGAAGCCGAGTCACCCCTAGTCCCCAGGCTTTGTCTTCACGTGTGATTATAGTTAGCCTAAAGTTTCGGGCTGTTGAGGGATTAAACCTAAATTTACTCTAGGTTTCGACTCGATGGCATCTGACAACAACAACTCTAGCGGTTAGAGTCGGGCTGCTAACCTTAAGGTCAGCGATTTGAAACTACCAGCCTTTCCAGGGGAGAAAGATGAGGCTTTGTGTACCCCTATAGATCCACACTTTGCTGTCAGTGTCGGATAAGCATGGGTTTGTGTTTACTTACTAATCTGTAGTGAACAACTGCACTTTAAAAAAAAATCACATCAAAGATTCTGCTTCAGTCTCCCTGCAACAGCAGCGTTTCCTACAGAATCAAATCAAAGACTATACATTTACAATTCCTGACAGGGACTGAATACCCAATAAGTAAGGTAAGCATAGGTTTACTAATCTGTAGTGAATAGTTTCACGGTTGTTCATGCTTATCTTATTTATTGGGTAATCCACTCACTTGCCATCAAACATCTAGGGTTATTTTTAGAAACAGGGTTCCTGGTTGTTCACATTAAGTGAAATGCTTTGAAAAGATTGAACACATTTTGGTTCTTTGTAGGCTTCCCCCGCCAATATTTATCATTACAGGGTGTTTTCTCAGGGGCCTGTTTAAATCTAATTCTGCTATGGAAATGACCTGTTGTTTTGTTAAGTGTCTTTGAGTCGGTTCCAACTCACAGCGACCCTGTATAGGGTTTCCAAGGGATGGCTGGTGAGCTTGAACCACCAACCTTGCAGTCCAGTGCATTAATCCACAGCGCCACACCCCCCAGGACTCCAATGGAACTAACCTGCCCACCTCAAATTCAATGTGTCCAAAATTTACCTTGAGTCCCAAACATACCCCTCCTCTTCTCAATGAATAATAACACTGTCCACTCACCCCTTTGCACAAAGCCAGAACCAGATAATTATCCTCAATTCTTCTCTCTCATCCAAACCCCCAACACACTGTTATATTGAATCAATTCCAGTACATGCAACCCAGTATGGGGTTTCCAGGCTGTAAATCTTTATGGAGCAGAAAACCTCATCTTTCTCTCGAGGAGTTACCAGTGAGTTCAAACTGCCAACCTTGTGGTTAGCAGTCCAGTGCTTATTCTATGGCGCCACCAGAACTCCTTGTCTATCATCAGGGCCTATTAATTAATCCTGACCTCTCCAGTTTGTTCACATTATCTCCATTTCTACTAACACTACTCTAGTTCTGGTCACCATCACTTTACTAGGACTACTGGAATTCCCTACCTCCAGTTTCCTACACACACACCATCATCTACTTTTCACACTTTCTGACCAGGAAGAGTTCTAAAGCAAAAATGTGATATTCTTTTGTTGCTTAGACCCCTTCCTTCAATGGCTTCCCAAACTCTCAGGGCAAGATGTATTACAGTTCTCGCAAGAAGGCATCTATCTGTAGCAGTTTCTAAAGTGGCCTCTTGATCCCTGTCTCCTGGTATTTATACCCAGGTATAATCCCCTGGTGTGGCGCTGTGGGTTAATGTGCTGGACTGCAAAGTCGGTTTGAACTACAAGGTCGGCAGTTCAAGCTCACCAGTCACTTCTTAGATTCCCTATTACTGGGTCGCTATGAGTCGGAACCGGCTCGACAGCACTTAACAACAATAACAATGTAATCCCCTCACAGAGTGTGGCCAGGTACTTTGACTTGCTTCTAACCAATAGAATACGGCAAAGGTGACTTAAGCTTCTAATGCCTGTCTTTCCAGAAGGCTCTCTCCCTTGCTGGCTTTGATGAAATAAAGCAGTGATGTTGGAGAGTTTCATGTGGCAGGAAATTGAGGGTGGCCTCCATCCAGGACACAGCAAGGCTCTCAGTTTCACAGCCAGGAAAGACCTAAACCCTGTCAACAACCATGTGTGCTTCTTCCCTCTTAGACCTTTCACAGTGAGAATATGGTTCTGGGTGATACCTTGATAAAAGGTTGCAAAGGACACAGCTAAATTATGCTCAGAACCCTAACAGAAATTAGAAATGTGATATAATAAATGTGTGCTGCCTTTTGCTATTGTTGTCGTGGTTAAGTGCTGTCAAGTGGCTTTCAACTCTTAGCAATCCTGTATAGGATTTCCTAGGAGCAGCTGGTAAGTTTGAACCGCTGACCTCATGGTTGGCATCCCAGTGCTTGTCCTACAGTATCACACCAGGACTCCGTTAAATATGTGGAGATAATGTTACACATGTTATTGGGTGGTGAAAACAGGTTGCATTCAACTACTGATGAAAAGATTGACAATTTGAACCCAGTCAGTGGCACTGCGGAAGAAAGGCCTGGTGGCTTGGTGATCTGCTTCTGTAAAGATTACAAGCAAGAAAAGCCTACGAAGCAGTTCTACTCTTTAACAAATGGGGTAGCATGAATCAGGATTGGCAGTAATGTGTGTGTGTGAGTGTGGTGATAGCAAAAGATAACTAATGCAGCATCCTAGCAGGTACAGTTAGCTCCTTTCCCGAACTTCACCTGGAAGAAGGGAGCTGTTGGACTTAGAAACTACTGAAAAATTGATCGAAAATCTCTGCTAGACAGACCGATGTGCATGTGTGTGCATATAGGGGAAAGATGGCAGCTGCAGTGGAAGAGGCCTAGGTATCCAGGGGAGTTGGGGAAAGATGCTATAGACAATGGGGTCCTTTTTAGTGTCTTACTGTGTACTTTTCTGTGCATGCCCGTATTGCTCTGGATAATCTTTGTCCATTCTTTCACCATTGCCCAGAATAGCCTTGGAGTTGGAGTGGGTGGGGAGTGAATAGTAACACATACCCCCAAAGGAGATTTTATTCACCTTCCTCCCACCCCTGATACACAAACACGGTGAGCCAGAGAATTCCAACAAAACCAGAGATGGAATACAGAGATTCTTTGAGGGGCAAGGTGATGTGGTATGCAATGTTGTTGTTGTTGTTGTTAAGTGCTGTTGAGTCAGTTCCAACCCATAGCCACCCTGTATAGGCTTTCCAAGGAGCAGCTGGTAAGCTTGAACCACTGACCTTGCAGTTCAAACAGCTTTGCAGTCTGGAGCATTAACCCACAGCGCTGTATCAGGACTCCGGTATACAACGGGGGAGGTGAAAAATGGGGAATGTTATTGTACAGATTTTAACAACAGATAGCTTTGAGAATAATCCAACATCACACCACACACATACACACTGTTCATCTATAGATTGTGCCCTTCTCTTGAGTTGAAGGAGATTTGGGACACACTTTAGGGCTTTGATTCCTACCCTCTCCTCATTACTAGCTTATATCTGGGCATGGGGAATAAGATCTCACAGGGAAAAAAAGCACTCAACTTCTATAAAAGAAAATATACCATATTGTTTTTGAACAATCTATAACAGATACAGCAAAATTATCAGACCATTCAGAATAAATTTTTTTTAAAGCTATCCTAAAAGATAAAGGAATATTTTAGAAATATGAGCCAAGAACTTGTTATTAAAACAAACAATATGTAAAAGCTATAATGGTTGAAATAAAGACCTCAAAAGTTGGGTTGAATGTGTAAAACTGAAGAGAGATTTAGAAAGTTCAAATATTAGGTCAAAGAACTTTTCCAGAGGATATCAGTAAGCGTAAAAAATTGAAAAGCATGAAAAGAGATGTGCAACAAGATGGAGGATAGCTAGAAATTTATACAGTGTCTCAGAAGGAAAGAAAATATAAAAAGAGGAGTAAATATTTCAATAAATAATGACCCAGAATTATGGAGAAATAAAGAAAAGTTAAAGATTTTATGTTGAAAGTGCACCAAGCAGGATAAAATCTAAGTGATGATAAAAAGATATACCAGTTAAGTATGAACTGTAAGAATACACAGATAAACAATGTTATTATTAGATAAAATTCAAGATAAAATCATAATGAACAAAGAGGGAAATTATATACATGCAAAACTCATAAGGAGAAAGATAGTCTATTATACTTACCCATATTTCTTCTCTTTCTATTGGCTTTTCTCCCATCCGTATGCTCAATGATTTCTTTATTATTTCCCTTCTGTTTGAAGAACTTCTCTTAGTCATTTTAAGGGTAGATTAGCATAATTCTTTAGTTTACTGTTAATTACTG